AAGACGCTAATAATAATCTTGTGTAAGGCCTTTCGACCGTCGCTCGGCACCGTTAAAATAAAATAATATGATGAGTGATTAAAATTAATTATTATAATGATTCACTCGTACGATTCGATCATACTACAATATCAATCGATTTGCAAAAGTATATTCATATCGATATGTCCCGTATCGATTTCGGGTGACTTCTGAATGGAGCTTAGCTTGTAGTTGTCGTTGACGATATTATCAAAACCTAGACACACACCATACGTGTTATATTCCGCTGGTATTAATATTATCTCGATTTTTCAGTCTAAAAACGTATATTGTAATCTATGCGCATGCGCTTGAATTCTACAATTAACTATGATATTTATGAATAGTAAAATCATATGAAAATACATAAGCTGATCCCGTGCGTCTCGTAAAAAATGTCTAATTTTATACGACTTAAACTTTGTTAAATTCGTAATTTGATATTCAGCGTAATCTTGTTGAAAGTCTTAAAAAAATATGAACAATTTAACTTTAAATCCATAGATATACTAATAACTTATAAGTAGTTTTTATTAATAATTAATTTGTTTTTCTCATGGGTGATCAATTATTTGCGGAAATAAACAAATATGACATGACGTGGTTTTAATTTTAATCCTGTGATTAAAAAATATCGTGACTAAATATCAAATACAGGTTAAAATTATTCCCATTCATAATAACATTTTATTTTATGTCACCAGTGGCAAACATTTATATAAAGAAAAACTTATTACTTCTACAATGCTTTAACCATTTATAAACAAAAACAATTTTTATTTTAGTTGTGAATCTCAAAGCCCTTATATGATCTCAAGAAAATGTGGATTATGTAAAATCATTTCTTAGAGCACACTAATTCGCGGTGGTATGGCGGTATTGTTAAAATGTCATTATTATAGCTATCATAGTTCAGAATCTAAGTTGATAAATCTTAGATTTAAAAAAAAAATTTTTATGATTTTCTAGCTTAAAACAATTTGTGAATTTTTGTGATTATTACGTATTATGTCAAAATTCAAAATTTGAATGCTTATAAAAAAAAATTGTGACTATGAATTTATTTTATTTTTCAACTGCTATTGTAACAATATATTAAGAGCCTTGTATTAAATTTTCAATATTTTCTACCCAAAAAATAAATTTTTATCGATATTAATTTAAAAAAAACTAATAATGATCGAAAATTGCATATACCTATGAATAGTACAACATAAGTCAAAAATTTTTGAAAATTTCATGGCGGATAGAATACACTTATAAAAACATTCGGTGAAAATTTCATGAATAAATGGTCATTTGTTTTAAAGTTACATCAATAATCAAAATCGATTTTGTCAAAAACTTATTGTGCGTAAAATTTCCCGTTTTTCCCTTAATTTTTAGTTTGTTTATCCCGATTATTTAGAAAAATATACTTTTGACCACCAAAGTAC